TAGTTGAATTTATTGAATCATTTTTTATTTTATATATACATAGAAAACATTGAAGGTCTTATTGTAAAAAATGAACCCAGTAATTTTGAAGATGAAGTTGTCAAAGCAATTGGACCTGGAAGAAATAACTTTATTAGTTAGGTGTGCAGTTCTCAAATTAAACCATTGCATTGAAGATGGGCTTAAAATTCCAGTTATTCAAAAAGTTTTAAGTCGTGCGAGACATGTAATTACAAAATCTATTAATATCTAATAGTATTTTATTTTAAAATATTATACCTCACAATTTAATCTATGAAATATTTTATTGTTAATATTTATTCACTGTATATTTTGTTTGTATTTTATAGGTAGTAAAAAAATTAAGGACCCCCAACTTATGCTGGATTATTAAAAAGAAACAACTTGAAACTGGCAATAATTGATGTTGAAACAAGATGGTCATCTACATATGATATGCTTGAGAGATTTTTAAAATTGAAAAGTTTTTGTCAAGAGTACAAAGAAACATTGCCAGATTTAAAAGTATCTAGAGAAGATTGGGATAAAGTAGCTTCTATGGTTTGTTCATTTTTAAATAAAATTTTTAGTACTTTGTATATTCTTGTAATTGTTAATTTTTTAAAAATATATACCTCTGTTGTTATAGGATATATCTCTTGAGCCTTCTAAAATTGGAATTGTCATGTTGCAAAGAAGTGATACAATTATGGGAGACTTTTTGGTAGAATATTATGGCTAAATTAGAAATTATTAATACTAACTTGAGTAATGCAATAAAAAATTCTATGAAGATAAGAAGAAAAAATTTACTAGAAAATCCAATTTTTTTGGCAGGTTTGTTTACATATATTGTATTATTATTAGTTAAGTATAAAAAAAAATTATTTAATTTTTTTATAGCGACCTATTTAGAACCTAGCTTTCAAAGTACTTTATCAAAAGATAATAATATTGAAGCAAAAACTCATTTATTAATAAAAACTTCGAGTACTATGGAAAACCTGACTTCATAAGATTCAGAAATTAATGAAAACAATATATCTGACATAGAAACAAACAATTTTAAAAATGATGATGATCCACATGAACAGTTTTTTAAAATCATAAAGTGGAACTTCAATTAATTTAACACCTCAATCTGGAAGTGACAAATGTTCTATTAGAGTGTTAATTGTTGAATTTGATAATAGTTGTAAATTACACCATAAAACTGATATTAAACAATTTTGGTTAAATGCAAAGAAGCCATAATTATTTAAGTTAGCGCAAGTTGCAATGGCTGTTCAATGTACAAATGTAATACTTATTAAACTTATTATACTCATTAAAATTATTGGTTGAGGTCAAGAAATTATTCATTAGGAAGGTAGAGCTGAAATATTTATACTTGAATTCTTATTTATGTACTTATTTTAGTTTCATTAGTAATCATTTTATTTGAAAGTCATGTTATATGTTTCACTATTTAAAATATTATAAATATAACATAGGTGATACTTGAGTGTTATTTTATTTTTACAGGTTACATTAGAAAGAACTTTTTCTGGTTTCAAGTATGTGTGTTATGATTTAAGGACATCGATTTCATCATCATTGCTTGTTGAAATTATGATTATTAGAGGTAACCAAAAATATATTTCCGAAAGCTTGTAAATAAAAAATTTGTTTATAATAAAAGTAAATCAGTTTGGTTAAATGCTTTTATTCCTTATTATCTTCAATACAGTAAATTTTGAATACTTTTTTTATTACTATTTGAATTTTAAATTTTATGTATATTTTTTATTATTGGTAGTTTGCTCATCATTTAATTTTAGGAATGAATATTGACGTCAATGTAAGGAACTCATTCCTCTTGGCACACTGGCTACGCCACTACCTAAAAGTTCTTTCTGTAAGAACACCCAAGCTTAATGTATTCCATCATTAAAAAAAAAAGTATTTGAACGGTTAAAAATCGGTTTTAAACGACTAACGGTTACCTTTAAAAATTAAAACCCATTATTAAGTGATAAGCGGTTAACAATAAATATCAAAATAGATTAACAATAACCATGTATATGGTAAAAAGCCACTTATTGATAACAAGTTTTACAAATTTCACTGTTATTAACAAAAACAATAACCCCCTTTTTTGATATCAGTTTTAAGCCTTGATTATAGCAATTAAATATTGCATGAAATTGAATTTTAATATTATAATTTTTTACAAAAATCGTATTTTTTTTTTAATTTTGATGACTGTTTTTATCATGAAAACAAAATAAAGTTTCAATTTTTTAATAGTAGTTTAATTATAATTTTGTGACATATTGAAGTAATTTATAGTATAATAAAAATATATATAAATCTAATGATTTGTTGTTATTGTCATTAAATTTTTACATTAAATGTAAAAATAATGAGCTTTTATGACTTCTTTGAGTGGTGCCAGCAACAGTATAGTCATCACGCTAATAAGACTTGTAAAATATGTGTATACCGTGTATTCTTGCAATATGATAAAATTAATTAATTATATGTTTATTTAATATGTGACTACTTATTTCATTTTATTATTTAAAAATCATTAATACTTTTCTTGTAACTAAAATATATGTCAGGGTTTAATAAAATTAGCTAACCTTTTTTTGTCTTTAAAATTAATTGCGGTTAAGAAGAAACATTTTTAACATAGAAATAAGAATTACAAGTTTCACGAAGTGTACGTCAGTTTGAGATTGTTTCTTGTTCACTTTCCACCGGTTGTGCTAAATAGCTAACTGACTAGTTAACACACTACTGTGTTCCATATTGTTATACGCTATTCTGCTCTACACAGTAACTACTGTACTACTGTTCTGATGCACTAAAAAAAAAAAGAGACATTGCTACATTAGCTTTTTACTTTATACAGAATGAATAGTCTATCTTTTATTTTATGGTAATCTAGAATGCCGTACTTGCCTTTTAAGACTGTTTTATTACTGTCAATTTACCCGGAAATCATGACTCATAACTATTACATGAAGATATTTATATATTTAAATTACAAAACATTTTTATGATATCAGTTTGGTATATAATACAATTTTTGTGAAGTAGTACTTTTCTTATAATTTACATCTAGTTTTGTTAAGAATTGTTTTAAAGTAATATGCGTAGATATTACATCAATATTTAATATTAAATATATCACTTAATAAAACTTCTAGTGTATGTATGTGAAAATTTGAACACTTTTTCTTAAGTATATAAAGTACAGGTTTTGTACTCACCAAATTATATATGTATTTGAAACGGGTTCAAATTGTAAACAACTTTTAATAAAATATAATTTATAAATTGTATTAAAAATAGTTAGAAATATTTAAATTTAATTGAATATTATAATAAAAAAGTAATTAGTGTCCTTTAGATACGGCCATAATAATAATAAATTATTTTTGAATTGTTTGTCTGTTATTTTCACACGCAATTGATTATTATTCATAATCGACATTATAAATAATAATGCATTAATGTGTTATTAGTCACATTTCATGCATTTACTTGTGAGGATTTTTTATTTATTTAAAAAAACAACTTCATGTAAAAAAGAGAAAATAATAATAAAAAAAAAAAATGTTTAGTAGAAATTGTACAAGTAAATGTAGATTGGATGGTAAAGTCGCTATTGTTACGGGATCAAGTCGAGGAATTGGTAAAGCTACAGCAAAAGAACTTTATAAAATCGGTATACAATTTATTTATTTAACAAAATATGTTGGGTTTTTAAAAATAAATAATATAATATAATATTGTATGTATTTGAAACTTAAAAAACTTTTAAATATAAAATAGTGTTAGGACAGCAGTTTTTAAAATTAGTTTGTGTAGTAAAGAAACTAATGAGAATTAATAATCTATACATAAATAAAAAAAGGTAATTTTTCCTTAATTAATTAATTGTTTCTTATCTTAAATTACTATACCGTGATACACTAAGCGCTAGTGTTTTTAGTATTTTTTATTTTTATTTATTCAGTGTTTTTAGTATTTTTACTAAAAATATCACAAAAAAAGGACTGTGTTATTCAATTTTTGGTCAAATATTATGACCAATATTAGTAAATCATAATAGTTTCATTTTTTCTGTAGAATACAACTTTTTTAGTTTCAAAATTTTATGTTTAAAATAATAGCGTTTATATCATAATTAGCATTATTACACAGTATATTACTTTTTCAACTAACTTTTGAAAATATTCCGGAAATACTAATACTTTTATTTACTTTTGGTATCTTAAATTAAAGCTTATGTAATATAATTTAATATGAAAAAAAAAAAATTGAATTTTAGTTTGTCTTCATAGTGAACATAGCTACCGTATTCAAAATATGGTATTTTTATGTCAAAATTCTCGATTTTATATTTTATATTTTTAACCTTTATTTCTATAACTATTTGAAAAATACATGGATAAAAACAATTTTTTTTCAATTGGACCTTTTCTATTTATACAGGGAGAAACTAGAACTTTTTCAGCTTAAATTTTGAAAGTGTTCCGGAAATACTGACACGAATTAACTTCTTAAGTTTCTGCTTAAATTATGATGTAAATTTTCATTCATATAGGTGCAAATGTAATTATGGCATGTATTGATATGAAAGAAGCTGAACAAGCTTTGTTAGATATAAAAACAGAAGTACAAGGAGATGGTTTGGGGACTTTAGTTATCGAAGAGCTTGATTTGTCATCATTTTCTTCTATAAAAAGATGTGCTAAAAGAATTCTAGAAAGAGAAAATCTAATTCACTTACTAATCAATAATGCCGGTATGTGTACTTCAAAATTTAAGAATATCTTATAACAGACTACTTAAATTAAAAATAAATATTTTTAGTAATTAGTATAAAAAGATTTTATTTATGAACTTCAGAGACCTTTAACTCGTTTGACCTATAAATAATTAAATTCTTTCAGTATTGACCTTTATACGAATTATTATTGGAAAAGTCCAAATACCAGTCTTGTAAAATATCTGAATAAATGTAATTAAAAACTATTAAGGTTGTAACGTGACAAATGTATCTAGTTATTTTTTTTGTCTATTTATATATATATATATATATATTTGTTTTGAGCCAAATGCGGACTGCGACGGCGTTTGTCAGTAAAATTATCGTGATAAGGTATTGTGATTTGTTTATGCGCGTGCGAGATAGTCAGCTGTGTACTACTTCAGACCGGTTCATGGACGGCATTTATGTGTACATTCACCCCGCTCCTTTCCCATCTTGAACGTCATTTGCACTGCTCACCGCATACATTGTCGCCTTATGATTAAAATTGTTCTTAGTAATTTCTGGCACTGGGTATTAAGTTTTTTTTTGACCCCTACTCCAAAGGCTAGCCGTGTTGTCGCCAACGGACCGCCGGGTCAAACGTCGGACGAGTTGTCGGAAATTAGCCATCGTCGGAACTGGTACGCTAATTTTCGTCCGTAGCGGTAGTTATTTTTGTTGTGTGCGTTACAACTTTTTTATATATATATACATTTTTTTTTTTTTTACGTGAGTGTCCGCTGTTCGTTTATTATGTAGTTTTTTTTATTGGCGTCGGCTGAACCTACCTCCAGTTTCTTTAGCCCTTCGGGGCTGGTAATGTATAGTTTATTATATGTTTTGAGCCAGTTTTTTTATTAGTACGTCGTGCCATAAGCACGTGTGGCGAATTTTATTTATTATATAAATTTTTTTTTAGGTGCCCCTATTATTGGCAGCTGTGTTCCAATACCACCTGTCATGTTATATATATATTTTTTTATAGGTTTTATATTTTACTTTATGGGCGATATGTATATATTATTGGTACAATGTGGTGACGTAGTGTATTTTATTCCGGGGTGTCCCAACGTCTTGCAAGCTAAGTCTAACTGCCTAAAACCAGTCGCTTACTTGGGACGTATACCCGCCGTGCTTAGCGGTAATTCTGGGATTAATAGCCGGCGGGTACCCGAAGACGTTCATCGTATTCTCTAATAATAAAAGTGTAGGTGTAACTATTTTTTTTATTAATATCTGTTTTTTTTTTCTCTTTCTTTGTCCCCTTTAATTGTAGACGAGGTTTTTTGACCGTTCGGTTTTTTGCCTCGTGTTAACTTAATTTTTTTGTTTTTTTTTTTTACTTAATAAAGTCCCCTTAATTTAACTGAACCATCATATTTTTCTTTTTTTTGCGTGTTCCATCTTCAATGGACTCGTGTATTTTATTTCTCCTTTCAAAAATCAACTCCCTAGTTTATAAGGTACGGCAACGGCCTTGTATAAGGTCATCCCTGATTAATATGGTTATGTGACAACTGTCACGAGGTTCTGGTGTACATCTACTATCAACGACTCAACGGACATCAACTTTAATATTTATTAATTATATATTTTTTCTAATTGTTTTAATATACAAGAGTTAATTTTTTTAAAATCCTACTGTGGTCCGACAATACATTGTGCTCGCCCAGTAGGTTGGCGACGCTTTTCTTATAATTTTGTAAAACGCCATGAAAGTTACAAATTTTTCGTTACGGCCAATTAATTTGATTTTTATATATTTGTAACCTTTCAAGGTATTAACAATACTTTTATTTCAGGAACTTGAGATATATTTAAATAGTATTAAGGGGTGAATCTCGGTTATCAGTACCAAAAAATTGAATTTTTTATTTTTCGCTCAAACCAATGATTGGTATTTCAAAAACATATAGTTAAAATCTCAGAGCCGTACCTGAACTGCTTATCTCTGAAACCGTACACCGCGTATTTGTTCGACGCCCTGGCTGCCCGGCTCCAATAGATCGGTCGGAAGGCAGCTATTGCTGCCAGTATCTTTTTTTTCTTCTATTGTCATTTGAGAAGTAATCTTAAGTAAAATATTTACTGGTAAGCTACTCTATATATGTCTCGTACGAATATTACGTATAATCTGATAACTTAAAAAGTTGTAGTTTTACTTCGGTTTTTCGTGCTCTTACAGACTTAGTAATGTGTAAAATGTGCTATGGTCAAATTCAGTTCAAAGAATCAGATTTTCACAGAGCGGGGTTTAAAATTGTTGTGGAGTGTGGTTGTGGTTCACGAAGAATTAATTCTGGGCCTCAGGAGAATACGGGGTATGAAATAAATCGTCGGATCATACTTCTGTTTCAATTACTGGGCTTTGGTATAGCGGGATTAAATATTTTTTGTGGATTAATGGACATGGGCAGCAGTTTTGGTCGGTCTTTGTACTATAGTGTGATTGAGCGTCTTCACACTTGCGCGAAAGCTGTGTTCGATATCGTGTGTTCAAAAGTCGTTATAAAAGAAAAAGAAGAGAATATAAAAAGAGGAAAAGCAGCCGACAATTTTATTGTTTATGGAGATTGTTTGAGCAACTCGTTATTTAAATAATAAAAAAGAGTGGACTGTATTTCTAGATTTCATTTTATTATAATGAAAATTTAATTATAGTAACAATTATTACGTCGCGAAATGGTCCGGCAATGTTACCGGCGCAGCGTATAACGAGTAACTAACCGATCCCACCATTATCACAAACGATAATCGTATACTAAACATAGGGGCCACCTTGAAGAACAGTCTTCAAAATATAATAAATAATATACACTATCGCCAAATAGAACAAAATAAATTAAACAATCAATTAGAATATAATAGAAAGATTTAACCCTCAATCAAAAGGGATACTGAAAATAATATAAATAATGTATGATAAAAATTCATTGACTAGAACATAAATAAATAATTGCGCTTACATATTATTATTACCAAAAAATTAAGAAATAGGTATTACATTAAATTTAAATTACATAATATACAATACATTTTAATCATTTTAAGTCGGACTCTTCATTAGCTTGGATTGGTAATGGACATAATAATCTCACCGCTCTCTTTCTTAACCCACCTGCTGTCTTGACTGTCGCGACTCGCACTACACCGTCATTGCCCGGAAATGTTTCACTCACGCGGCCCAACTGCCATTGCAAGGGAAGCAAATTTGGATCTTTTATTAAAACCATTGAGCCAATTTTTAATGTGGAACAATTAGGTTTATTCCATTTGGAACGCTCCTGAAGCTGACTTAGGTATTCCACGATCCAACGTTTCCAAATTTGTTGCGTAATATATTGTGCTCTTTGCCACCGTGATAATAAATTACTGTTTAAATAACATATTTCGGGTTCCGGCAACGATGATAATGAGTCACCTACTAAAAATTGGCCAGGAGTAAGGACGGATAAGTCAGAAGGATTATTAGATAATGGGGTAAGCGGTCGTGAATTTAAACAAGCCTCAATATGCACCAACAGTGTGTAGAACTCATCATATGTTAATCTTACGGATGATACAGTGCGATTTAAATGTTTTTTAATGCTGTAAACTGCCGCCTCCTATAATCCGCCGAAATGTGGTGCTCGTGGAGGAATAAAGTGCCATACTATTTCGTTGCTAGTCATAAATTGATGAATACGATCTTTGTGATCGTCAATCGACATTAACTGTTTTAAATNTGATCGTCAATCAACATTAACTGTTTTAAATTTTGAAGTTTATTGTTTGCACCTATAAAACAAGTAGCGTTATCTGAATATATGTTTTTAAATAGACCACGGCGAGATATGAATCGCTTTAGAGCTGCAATAAATGCATCCCTGCTTAAATCACATACGAGCTCTAAATGCACCGCCTTTGTGGCGAAACACACAAACACGCATATATATGACTTTTGAGTCGCGGAATTTCGTCTATTGTTACATTTTAACTGAAACGGACCCGCATAATCTATTCCACAGTTTTCAAAACATCTACTTGGCTGATCGACTTTGAATTTTGGTAAATTACCCATTAAAGGTGATATATTTTTTGGTCGTGCCTTGAAACATTTTACGCATTGGTATTTAACTTTTCGCACGCACCTTCGACCATTGAGTGGCCAGTATTTTAATCGCACCGGGGCAAGTGTAGCATGTGGCCTTGCATGCATCAGTCTCTCGTGTTCGCGTAACATGATCAATTTTGAAAAATTTGTATCATTGGGTATTATAATCGGAAATCGTTGATCAGTATCAATAATTGTCGCGTTGGTTAATCTACCACCTACGCGCACGATTCCATCGTCGTCTATGAACGGATTTAATTTATATATTTTACTGTTACCCGACACAATACATTTATTTTTTAAATCTTTAATTTCTGAAGAAAAATAAATACTTTGTAATAATTTGATTAGTAATTTAATTCCTTCTGATATTTCGTCTACGCTTAACGGCCCGATAATTCTTTGGATATTATTACGTTTCGATAATGAATTATTTTTGTATCGTATTAAATACGCAACGACGCATGATAACTTGTTCAGAGATGAATATTTATCAATATCAAACACCGGGCTTACTGTAGTAGCACACGCGATAATAGACGTAATCTTTTCTTCGTTTTTAATATCGTTTATATGTTCCAAATCTTCGTTGTGTGCTATTGAACCTTTGAAATCATTATTAATTAACCATACCGGACCGTGCCACCAAAGCATGTTATTTTTTAATTCGTCTGGCGTACATCCTCGTGATAATACGTNACATGTTATTTTTTAATTCGTTTGGCGTACATCCTCGTGATAATACGTCAGCTGGATTATCGTTCGATTTCACATGTCCCCACTCCGAACGCTCAGTCAAAGTGTGTATTTCACTGACACGATTAGCAACAAATGTTTTCCACTTACTTGATTCTGCAGCTATCCAAGCTAAAGTGACAGTTGAATCCGTCCAAAAATATTTTTTTGATATGTTCACTTTAAGCGCCGATATAATTACATGCATAAGACGTGATAAAAGTAATGCCGCACATAACTCTAATCTTGGAATTGACACTACCTTTATCNTATCTTGGAATTGATACTACCTTTATTGGTGATATACGCGACTTTGCGCACACTAATAGGCAGTTAACGACTCTGTCCGTCATATCTGTAGTACGTATATAGATACACGCACCGTATGCTTTCGTAGATGCATCCGCAAATCCATGTACTTCAATGTGTTTTTCTTTATCAGACCCCACCCAACGAGGTATGTTAAATGAATTGAGCTCATTTAAACAACTATTATAATTTTTCCATTCTGATTGTATGTGTAACGGAACTGGACTATCCCAACCAATTTTTTCAAGCCATAATTTTTGAAGTAATATTTTTCCTACTAATATGATAGGACCTACTAAACCTAATGGATCAAACAACGTCACCAGACCGGCAAGAACGTGCCTTTTGGTGACTTGAGCGTTTATTTTTGGTATCTGAACGACATATGTGTAGTAATCCCTCTCCGGTTCCCAATACAAACCTAAAGTTTTTACTTTTTCTCTATCCATTGAGATTTTTTGTGATTTGCCATTACTTGGATTAGGAAATAAATCTTCATGATTTGCCGTCCATTTTGATAATTCAAATCCCGCACTTTTCATAATTGAAATTAATTCATCACGTAACATTATAGCTTCAGTCAACGTATCTGCTCCGGTAAGACAATCATCCACACAAAAATCGTTTTTGATCATTTCTTTTAATCTTGTATTTGTAGTTTTATCAGCTACTCGGTTGACGCAGCTCATCGCCAAAAAACCCGCGGGTACCAACCCATAAGTAACTGTACGTAATCTGTATATTTTGACCTCTTCACTTGGATCCGATCTCCATAATACACGTTGATAATCACGATCATTTTTGTGTACTAATACCTGTCGATACATTTTCGTTATATCCGTCGAGAATGCATATCTGTGAGTTCTAAATCGAATTATGATATCTAATAAGTCCGGTTGTACTTTGGGACCGTTCATTAATATGTCATTTAATGACACCCCGGTACTGGTTTTCGCTGACCCGTCAANAGTACTGGTTTTCGCTGACCCATCAAACACAACGCGCAGCTTGGTCGTTCTACTATGATCGTTTAAAACGTATGAGTGCGGTAAATAAAAACATTTATTGTTGTCGATTAACTGATTATCGCCTCTCGCATTGCCTATATATTCCATATGTTTTAATTCTTCATATTATAACATAAACATTTTATACTTATCATGTAATTCGGAATTTTTTAATAATCGTTTTTCTAATGATA